GTGCAGAAGAGATTTACAAGGATTTTGCTGAGATTGGAGGGCTTGAGCTTTAGGGAGAGACTGAATAGGCTGGGGCTATTTTCCCTGGAATGTTGGAGGCTGAGGGTTCACCTCATAGACGTTCATGAAATCATGAGTGGCATGGGTAGGATGAATAGCCAAGGTCTTTTCCCAGGCTAGGGGAGTCCAAAACTTAAGGGCCTAGATTTGAGGTGAAAGGGCAAGATTTGCAATGGACCTAAAGGGCAACTTTTCCACTTGGAGGGTGGTGCATGTATGGAATGAGCTGCCAGAGGGAGTGGTGGAATCTGGTACATTTACAATATTTAAAAGACATCTGGATGGGTGCATGAATAGGAAATATTAAGAGGGATGTCGGCCAAATGCTGGCAAATGTGACTAGATTAATTTAGAATATCTGGTTGGCATTAGATAAGCTAGACCAAAAGGTCTTTTTCTGTGCTGTACAACTCTGACTCTAATTGTTAAAGAATGACAGTCGTGAGCACAGGAAAGGTGATTATTGATGCAATTCCATACTTTGGGAGAGAGAAGCATGGGTAGACTGTTTAAAGTTTATTGAATTATCAAACAATCAGTTTGTTCCACAGGAAGCAATGTTGCTAATAAACTACATCATGTTGCCCACACAGGCCAATTGTTGACAGAATCAAGCCTCAATCCTCCAAACCAGCAGTAGGTGTCAGCAATCTCATGTTATTCCATGCAGTAATTCTCGGCCCTTTTTATAAATCCGTGTCAATGTGTGTAGTAAGCAGGAATCAGGCATTGGTCAGGGCGACTGCTGTTTGAAAGGAGCTGAAGTATAATTTTACAGCCAACACACTAATTCAGAAACCACTGCAATAAAGTAATGTTTTTATGTTACACCCTGTCTATTTATATCATCTGATTGGTTATATACAGAGCATTTGTTGAATTTAAGATCTGTTACACGTTTGTTGTGAGATGTGATAAATGCAAACTATCTCCAGGCAGACAGTAGTTCACATTCACAGCAGACTTCTTTTCTCCAGGCACTCCCTTCACAGCTATCACTGCTGTTGAGCACCCCCCATCACTCTTGATGCTGCTGTGGGCCCTATCCTTTCCACCTCTTGAAACACTGTACAAAGAGCTTTCTTTTATTTTTGTAAATAACTACCCTCTTAACTTGCTGTACTGTTTGGGACATTCTCTAGCCTCCTAGGCCATTATCATAATTGTAATATCAGAAATGCAAGAGCTGTTTTGCATACAGTATGATCTCCTGAATAGAAATGTGCTCATCACCAGATCGTCTATTTCAGACAATGCTCAATAGGTATGTATTTAACTTGCTGTGTTTGACCACATGGTTCAGTGGAATCTTTTATGCCCACCTGAGAGAGCTCCAACAGCACAGCACTCCAGCATTGTACTGGATTGTCAATCTGATTTCGTACTCAAATCACATGTGAATCCCTTTTTCTGACCCTAATTAGTCTGCTAATGATTGTCACTGATATTTCGTCTTTGTCATACTGTTAACCTCGGTTCATATTTCTAACTGGCCTCTCTGCTTATCTGTGCTAATCACTTGAATAAAAGTGCATGTCTTAAAAAAGTAAAATAACATTTTTCCCTCTTGTTTAGATTGAGAGGTTCTATTTTCCAGAATATTTCTTAACTTGGTCTACCCATAGTTGTGGACTTTTCTTGCTGTTTAGTAATCCGCAGGCCCAGACTAATACTCTGTGGGTTCAATTCCCACCATGGAAGCTGATTGAATTCAAATTCAATTAATAAATCTGGAGTATAAAGCTAATCTCAGAATTGGTGCCATGAAACCATCGTTGCTTATCATAAAAACCCCCAGTTTCCTAATGTCATTTAGGAAAGGAAATTGGCTATCTTTATTTGGTCTGGTTTGTGAGTGATTCCAGACCCACAGCAATTTGATGACTCTTAACTGCCCTCTGAAATGGCCTAGCAAGTCACTGAGATCAAGGGCATTTAGGGATGGGCTTTGCCAGCAAGGTGCACATCTCATGAAAGAACAAAGCAAAAAGAAAACCAATTCTGATGAGAATTTACTGTATACTGTCATGGTAGAGAATGTTTGAATCACTGTTGGAGAGCCCAAGGTTGACATCTTGAGTGCTTAATCGTAGGGACATTGATTAAGTTGGCTGAACAGCTGGTTCGTGATGTAGAGCTAACATGAGGTTACCATACTAAGCCAATGAAGCATCTGACCTAAATTTACATAGTAACTAGTGGCTCCTCCTGTGGTAAAATAGGACTGGCATCAGTCTAATGCCAGTTGTGGAACTGAGCTGTTTAAAATCTGTCACTGTTCTCCTGGCATGCAGGAATATAAAAGCAATAAGCTTTGTCTGTTTTAAGACATAGAATAAAAATCCAAGGGAATTGGACATTATCCTGCTTCAGAACACCGGAAGGACTGTGGTGTTAATTGGCTGAATTTTTTCCTGATCTGTTGAATCCGTTAAAAAAAACACTTCTTCTCAGTTTGATTGCCTTGACATGATTCCCATCCACTAAGACTGCAGTTCCTTTAGTTTTGTGCTACTTTAGATCTTGATATAATCTTTGTAAAATTTATGCACTGCTTTGATCCATTTGATGTCGAGAAAAACGCAAGGTAATTGTAGGTTTCAGGAGGAAACTTGTTCTTTTAAGATGCTCATGCTGATGAGTCTTGGCAAGCTTTTCTGCCGCAACAGAATTAATGCTTAACCCATATTAAGCAAGCCAAGATAAAGATAACCTCCCCTAATTTGACATTGTTTTAATCAAGATACAAACAATTGAATTAATATAGCATGTTTCATGACTGCAGGATGTCCCAAATTTCACAATTCTGGGATTTCATAAATATTTAGGTGGTTGTCAGTGCTGTTACTCTGGTAATGGAGTAAATATGGAAATCAATTTTAGCATAATAGAATCCCACAGGCTGGAAAGGTGATGATGAACAGATAATATGTTTTTCACCAATGTTCGTTGAGAGAGAAATATTGGCCAGAAAATCTCTTCTTTGAAACAGTATCTCAAGATCTTCCATTTTAAACAACAACAGTTTAAATTCTATCACAAACGTGTTGCCTCTGAGCGTGCAGCATTCTCCCAGGACTACATTGAAGTGCCAGAATGAATTATGAATTATGGATTCCAGTTATGGTGAGAGACTTGAGCCAAAAACTTTCTTCAAGATGAAACTTATCATAGTTGACCACAAATAATTGTACATAATAAAATTACATGGTAGATAACCAAATATATCTTACTGTGACAAATGTAGTACAAAGCATCGAAGGTTCCAAGTTATTTTGAGAGGGAAATGTTTCTGTTTGACTTTTTTTGGAAAAGCTGGTACTTGGATTGAGATGTTATTCTACTTCTGATGTACTGTGTAATGTGGCTACTGTCACTAGAGGGTCTCAGTGAGCTCTGTGAACTTAAGAAATTTCTCTAGTGACAGGAAATGGCACTGCAGCATTTCATTTCACAGTACAGTTTCTGCAGATAGCATCACTGTGTATTCTGACTGCTGTAATCAGGGTTATTTTGCAGCAAACTGTTCCTTTATTCATACTTTGTTGCTACATATTGCCTCTGGCTATGTTTCTTTTCTGATTTTTATTTACTCCAAAATGTATTACTTTGTCTCCCTGTTTTTCTGACCTCTACAGGGGAATTTTTAAAAAAAATAAAGTACAGCTTGATATATTTTTATAAACTTTCTTTCATGCTTTGTCAAAATGATTAAATTAATGCTGCAAATGGATGACTTTTCCACATACATCTGACACATTCAGGTCAAGTATAAGTGAACAACACTTTACTCATTCATATTTAACATTGTCCCTTCAACTCCATAAAATGAATCAGGATCATTAACATGAGCCTGGGGGCTCATTATAGAGATAATTAGGGCTGGTGACCAAAAGTTTCATCAAAGTTTTAAAAGAACTGAGGAAGGCAAAGCTTGGGCACTAAACACCTGAAGCCACGGCCTAAAAGAAATCGGGAATGCACAGGAGGCCAGAATTGAAGGAACAGAAGAGCTCACACAGGATTGGAGACAGGAATAAGGCTTTGAGCACCTAGTGAGCTGAGGCAGGAGCAAATTTGTCTCAGACTGTTCCTGAGGAAAGGTATGGAGTTGGTAAACAGGACATGGGGACTGAAGGCAATGGCTTCAATCGTACCAGTATTCCATTTGAGGAAATTTCTGCTTATTCAGTAATGAATGCTGGGCAAGCAATCTGATAATTTAGCAGTGGTGGAAGAGTCAAGAGAGGTGATAGTGAAGTACAGGTGGGTGTCTTCAGCGTACATGCAAACTGTCCTTGTGTTTTTGAATTATGTTGCTGAAAGATAACATTCAGATGAGAAATTGGATGAGGCCAAGGATAGAAACTTGGGCCTCCAGGGGTAGCAGTATGGGAGCAGGAAGAGACACCATTGAAAGTGATTCTCTGATTAGATAGATAAGAATTGAATCAGAGAGCAGTCCCACATATCTGGACAACAGACTTTGGAGAGGAAAGGGAGTTTGGGGGTAGAGCAGTAGTTTACAAGCATTGTAGGGGCCAAGACATTTTGAGTAGAGGAGGAATGACAGCAGATTTGAAGACCTTTAACAGAATAAAATTATTAGCAATATCAACCAACGTGGATCAGGTGGAGATCGAGTTGTCACCTTTTTCGTGAGAGTAGGGTTCATGGAGCAAGAAGTTCAAATATGCCTTTAAAAACACTATCATATGCACCAAGGTGACATTATAACTGCCTCCTGCATGTTCCTACTTTACAAAAGTGACTGCATTTCAAAAGTTTGTAATTGGTTGTAAAGTGCTTTGGGTGGTCCTGAAGTCATGAAGGCACTGTACAAATGCAAGTCTATCTGATTCTACCCCTCAGCATACAGCTTTTTCTCCTTTGCGAGTAAAATTCAATTTATTCACTTCTCCTGTTTCTTTGCTGTTTAGTTCCTGCACTGGTGATAGAAGCTCCAGTAAACTTCCCTCCCTATGAATCTGAACCCCGTGACAATGACCAGAGTGACAGCTCCGGCTTCCTTGATAGTATCTTCTGGATGGCAGCACCCAAAAAACGGCGTACAATTGAAGTCAACCGCTGTCGGAGGAGGAATGTTCAGAAGTTAGAAAAAGTTAAGGTATGTGCATAGAGTAAGCTCACGTACATATTATCAAAAAGACACAATGTATTACTTTGCAGTTTCCAAATCAAGGCAGCACATGAGTAATCCTCTGTCTGACACCAAGCATAAAAGTGCTTGAAAGTGATCTTTGAGAGAATCATACAAGAATGGACAATAGGCTCTCAATTGTGGATTGATATTAATGGTAGTGAATTCTACGACTGGATTGCTCTGCCATTGTTGTAATATAATTAGAGTTTGTATGATGTAAAGCATCCTTGTTAGTGCTGAATATTTGTAATGGTTACTTGTAAACAATTTGTCAGCAATTGCACGCCTTACTTTGAATAATGCAGCAACTTTATTTTTAAGATTTAAATCTGTCCTGAAAGTGGAGCAAATTTGTTCAGTTTTGTTTTCATTTTTTCTTTGGAATTTCTTTTCATTTCAGAACAACATAGAGGTCTGTCAAGATTGTGGGCGCTTGAAACTGAAGCATGTCATGTGTGCCTTCTGCTATCAAAAGGTTGTACATGAAACAGCTTTGGTACGAGCACAGATTCAGGCACAGGAAGGAAGGCCACACAACACTCCCCCTGTTGAAAATGTTGTACTTTACGCAGGAGAAAAGGCTACAGAGGCTGATGAGGGAAAGCGGATCATTGAAAGGAATCGAAAGCGCCCAGCATGGTTTACAGTAGACTCTTGATGTGAGCACTGCATAAAAGGGGAAACTAGTGACCTTTTGTTTATATAGTACAGGCATTATTAAAATGTACCACAGTTACTTAAAATATAATTTGGGTACCCTTTTTGTTGATTAAAGGAAATACATTTCAGGAATTTATGCTCGTCTACAGAAATGTGCATTGTAATAAACTCTTTCTATACAACATGCTGAGTGGGTGCTTTGTTCAATTGTATGTTTTCATTTTTGATAAACAGGTAAACATTATTTTTCCTCAGTATTTCTCTGTTCCATGCAGCTGTGCAGAAGTAAGCAACTGAGTTAAATTCAATAACCTGTAATGGCAGAATTTTAAAATTTCTCTTTCTAGCGTTCTGCATATCTCCACCATCCCTCTCATCTTTTAAAAGCCTTTTGGAAATCCATCCTTTAAGTCCTTTAGCCAACACCAAATCCACCTCCCCCACAAATTCCTTGCTTCATTCCTTGCTGTCTGCTTTTCTTGCACCTGTTTCTAAAAGCTTTGAGATCATCTTAACATTAAAATGTTCTTTATGAATCCATGATGCTATTACTGTTAATCCTCCTCAAAGTGCCTTCTTTACCCCTGATAAAAATGGTTGAATTAGTCTGATATCCATTTGTTCTATTCTCCAGCTAGTTTTAACTACTGTAGACTGTGCTTTGTGTAACTGTCTTTAAATTAAATGGATTTAAATTAAATTTAAATGGATTAATTCTAACCAAAACAGGCTCTCTACTTTTTTTTAGGGCTTCATGTAGTCTAGAGGCTGTCTAGGTTATGAGATGGATTTACTAATGAGGCTGATTCAAAATGTAGTTCTTAACATAAAAATCTAAAATATACAAGTAGATCGCATGACCTGTTTTACTAAAAAAACTGATACTCTTGTTTTCTTTTGTGTCAGTGATCATTGCTGGTAAGAGATGATTAAAGCTTCAGCAATGCTGAAATCAGAATGCTAGAAAGAAGTGACTCATTGATGTATTCTTGCTCTCTGGCTACAAAAAGATGATAAAGCTTCTCAGTTCATTTAAATGCATGATAAAAGATCTCCATGTCTATCCTCTTTAAAACATTTTTTTAAACACAGATTATAATGTATTTTTGCAATCAAATCAATATTGAAGTTCATAAAGCAGAAGTAGTACAGTCAACTTTTAAAAGTTTAGGTAAACTTGCAAATATTTTCTGGTCAATGCTAATGTTAAATAAAATTCTTGGCTTTTAAAAAAGAAAATCTCCTTTTTGCCTCAAGTGAAAAAGCAGTTGACCAGCGTTCCATGAAAGTCAGTTTCCCCAACCCAATATTTTTTTTCTCGTCTTTAAAAAGCCATAGCTCTGAATATCACACATGTTTGTAAATCAAAAGAATGTGAATTCAAGACCTGCACCAAAGACCTGAGAATCTAGGCTCACACTGCATGTGCATTATCATGAGGGGATGCTGACTTGCTGTGGGTGCCGTCTCTCTCTGCCTTTTACGGTGGATTTGAAAGACAGTTCTGATTCAAAGAGGAGCAGGGAAACTTTGCTTGAGGATCTGACTAATGTACCTCTCTCTCTTAGCACCTAGAACAGATGATCAGGTATTTTATTTTGTTGCAGTTCATAGGACCTTCTTTTGCACAGATTCGTTGTTCTGTTTTCTACATTGCACCAGTGACCAAACTTAAGTATTCCTTTGTTAGCAAAATGTTTTGCGAAATCTGGAGACCGTGAAAGACATGACGTAAAAACAAATTTTCTTTTCGCTGCCCAGTGGATCAGCAGCTGGCCTCTGCCTGACAGCTTCCCACATCAGCCATGACTAAGATAAAGATATCAACATGTAATATAGGTTGCCCAAAATATGGCCTGTGACTTCCACAGGGGTTGCAAGACTAAACTTTGGGGCCACAATGCTCTGACCAAATGTTAAAAGCTCTGAGGCCTCTTTCAATGCTCTTTAAAGGTGGGCATGATCTGACTCCTGTTCCAAAACAAGCCAGTGACAAAGTATGTTTCTAAAAATCCCTGAAGATTAAGCCCTTTGCCCTATCCCCTGCGCTCACTGCTTCCTCCCTGCTTCACATGTGGGATCATGGCAACCTTCAAACCTTGAAGTCACAATGGGAGAAACATTTTGGAAGCATTGTTATAAGGAATCAACATGGTTCATTTTTTTTTCAATCTTTCCTCAGCTTATTTCTTGGATGATTAATGTGTGGCGCAAATGGTGGACCATGGGCAGGAGAGAAAATGTCAAGATGAAGTACAGAAATAATTCAACATACTTCCAGTTAGTGCTATCTTCACAATGGAGCCTGTGTTACTGAAATTCATCTTGGTGATCTACATTTTAAAAGAGTGATTGATTGTTCTGTGATGTTCCTGGCTGTAACTCACTCACTGAATGTAAACCTTTATAAGGATCAGAAAAGAGAAATGGGAGAAAATTTCTTGAAAAATTTAAATTTGGAAGCAATGAGTTAATTCATATCATTAACTGGATGGAGACATATTTCTCCACTGTTTCTATATTTTTTCCACACTTTCTTTTAGACCCCTCATTGAATTTTGCATTATGTTAGCATTGGTGTTGCATAAGGCATATTTATACATCAATAGTTTTCTTGTATTGAATTTCCAGCTTCTATCATGGCAGGCAAAATGTTCAGATTGTGAATTACACAATAGTGGATGTGGAAAGAGTCTGGGGAAAGGCAACACCATATTTTTGCACAACTTGTATTAGCTATCTCAGCAAATATAGCTGAGATTTTCTTGGCTGACTTCAATCTGGGATGTGACATGGAGCCATGTGACAGGATGTATAAGAAGGGAAAAGGAAAGGATAAGCCAAGTTACTGTTGGCTGACATCAGTAATGGGTAAGGTCCAGATATAAGTACTTACAGTTCAGTCAATGAAGGATCACCAATAGGAATTTATAGGAACAAGTCAAATTTACCAAATTCTATGAGGAAATAACATTCAATGACCAAACAAATGTTTGCACTGGTTTTCCAAAGTGCCTAATATGGTCCATGTGGGTTACTTGTTTTGGTGGAATTAAGGTAGATGATGTGAAAAGTATCAGTATGGATAGGATGTAAGTTAAAGAAAGAGACCAATGGTTAACAGCATTTTGGATTAAGAAAGTGACCCTCAATGATATGTTTTGGAACTGTTGGGTCTCTCATCTTATGCTTACATTTTTTTACATGTTGTATATGAACTGGATTTGGGTAATTGACACAGTACTAAAATTTGCAGACAGATAATTTGTTTAACTGCAAGAAGGACTATATGTGATTCAGACTGGACATAGATTAATAAATAGATGAAATTTGATGCAGAGAAATGTAAAGTGGGATCAGAGATAGTAGGAACTGCAGATGCTGGAGAATCCGAGACAACAAGGTGCAAGGCTGGATGAACACAGCAGGCCAAGCAGCATCATAGGAGCAGAGAGG